GGCTCGTTCCAAAACAAAGTAGCCCTGGGGGGAAAAGAAAATGATTGCACAACACCAAACTTCTTTCCTAGCCCTGAAGTTTGCACGCTATGGAACAAGAAGGGCCCTTTTAGGGAAACCATGACAGACAACTGCCACTTTTCATTTCAACCGAGAAGAGAAAGCATTGAAATATCCACAGCCTCTTAGTAGCACAAAGCAATAAACACATGCCATTATTCACCTCTGCCGTTTTATACATCTTCTCAGACCAGCAGGAACATGCATACAGTTTTTCTGAACTCACTGAGCATTTCCTTAACGCAGTCGACAGCACCAAAATTGTAATCAAACTGTTTCTAGGTGTGCCTTGAAAGTAGCAAAGAAAACAAGACAGTTCTTAACATGTTTGCTTTAGTAATATTCCATCATGTTTTATGAGTGATTGGGGGGACAAGATGTAAAGAGGAAAAAAATTAAATGTATTACCCTGAGGATAATGATTTTTTTCCCTCATCGCCACCTCAGTGAAAGAGGGCAAAAAATGTTGGTGTTTCAAACAGATGATGCCAAAGCCACTGTGTAACAGGTGCCACAAGCCAAGATTTAACTCTCACTGGTGTAAAACTAACTGCATGCTAGCTTGACATCCTGGTGCTGTGAGCTCTTCTGTTAGAAAGGCTACTACTGATTTGTTTTCTTACCTCCCCGGGATTTGAAACACACCTTCCTTTAGGTCACTTACACCTAAATCCTCAAACCTGAAACATGTACCTGCCTGCCAGGCTTGTGCAACAGCACAGGAGAGTCCGCCTAATGCCTCCTTTTGTGAGGTAGCACTGCAACCTAATACTAGGGATGTGTACTCAGAAATAAATCCAGTTATGTTCAGTGGAGCTTACCCTAGGTAAATGTGCAAAGGGCTGCGGCTCAAAGTTAGCACACCTTATCCTAAGCCACTGTGTGCTGACTCTGCTAAGCACACAGGCCCCCCACCCCCACCCCGGCACTCATGGTACTGAGTTTCTTTTTGTGCTCCTGGCAACCAGTGTTCCCTCTAAGCTGATTTAGTGTGAGCTAGCTCAGTTTTTTTAGCCTCCGGCTCACACAATTTTGTCTTCCCTCAGGAAGGACGACTCCAGAGCCAACTAATTTAGACAGTAGCCAAATGGTTCGCTCACAACTTTAATGCCAGTAGCTCACACAAAGTAGAATTTTTGCTCACAAAACTCCACATCTTAGAGGGAGCATTGCTGGCAACTGTTCCCTGGCTATCTGATCTAGTTATCATAAACACAGGGGTGTGAAAGCCAGAAGGGTGTGGTGGCTACAGTGTTGGACTAGGATCCTGGAGACCCAGGTTTGAATCCCCACTCTGCTCACTGGGTGACCTTGGGCCAGTCACAACCTCTCAGCCTGAACTACCTCACAGGGTTGTTGTAAGGACACATGGAGGAGGAGAGAACATTGAGGAGAAAGGCAAGGTATGAATAAAGTAAATAAACTGGAGACGACCAGCTGCAAAGGAAGACAGGGCTTCGGCACCTTTGTGGAAGACAGGTCTTTTCCAGCAGCTGGATCTTTTCTTGCCCTAGCATTATTTATTTACTTCATTTATACCCCATCTTTTATACCCCAAGGCAGCTCACATTGTTCTCCTCTCCTCCATTTTTATCCTCATAACCACCCTGTGAGGTAGGCTAGGCTGAGACTGTGACTGGCCCAGCAAGCTTCCATGGCAGCGTTGGGATTCAAACCGGAGTCTCCCAGATCTTCGTTCGGCACTCTGCAAACCACTACACCACAGTGGCTCTCACCCCACTTTACAACCGCTCCAGAAACTAGAGCCCTTGCCTCCTCTTTCATTATAAACACTTTACAAGAACCTGTGATTCTGTGATCCTCCTCCATGTGGTTGAGGCGGTGGCGTCCAAAATTGCAAGTCCTCTTCAAGGACAAGGGAGCCAGACAACACATCTGTACGGAGCACCCATCATAGACCACCGATCATAAAAAGGTCATCCAAAGCAGAACATCTGGGTGCACTGGCCAGCTGCTTGTTTTTCTTTCTTTTTTTGCAAGAGCCACGTAACATAAAATAGTGACATCTGTGTTCAACCACAACTAAAATCTGCAAAGCCACTTGAAGATTTCAGGCCAGTGCACTGCTGACAATTACATGTTTTGCCACAGGCAACTTTCTGAGAGCCACATGCCAATTAAACAGTTGGCTGTCCTCTATCCCAGACACAGCACTGACTTCCCACATTCACAGAAGGAGCAGGTTGTGATATTAACTTCTGCCCGTGCAGGACCCCATTGGCCCAGAAGCCTCGGTGAATTTCTTATTTACCTCTCTGCTTCCCATATAGCAAAAAAGTGGCGACTGTGCATTTTTTTAAGCAGGTGTCAGTTCCTTGCCTGTACTGCTTCACAAAATAATATATTACCAACTTTTACTTATGCAAAGCCAAGCCCTGAGAGACACCGATAGAGAACAGTGGGAGAGACACAATATGAAAGAAGAGTCAGGAGGTGCTAGGGGATTTTTGTGCCTTGACCTCAGTGCGTTTACGATGTACATCTGTGGTGCACCCAGAAGCATTTCCCAAGGCTGCAAGAATACCACTTCTTGTATTCATCGAGACCACAACAAAACTCCCTTCTTACCATGACATCAAACGTTCCTACAACAACAACAACAACAACAACAACACAATCTAGAGAAGCACAAAATGAGTGTTGCCTCAGATACCGGCCTGCATTTGATCAGGTTATAAAAGTCTATGGGAAAGAGCCAGAGTCTTGTTTGCGCTGGGATTGAAAGATATTTATTATTCAGGCCAAACCTGGTACAGCCTCACTCTAGGAACTGGAAAATAAAAAATCTACAAAAAGTGTGCATATGGACAGAAAGGAATAGCATGCAAGCATGTCCTCCTCTTGCCTTACATAGGAGGAGATTCTCTGAGAGGAGATACCTTTCAAAAGTTTTCAACTAGCTTTGAATGTTTATTTCCTCCAGGTCCACTTTGTCTTTGAGTGGCACTGGGCACTACGCATACAAATTCGATAATCAGATTTACACAAACAAGCAAGTTACTACTGAAAAGCAGCCCAAGGATTCCTTTTCAGAGGCATGGTAAATCAAAGCATATTGCTAGAAGTTCCCCAGAAACAAAGGACCTAGCAGTACACCTTATGTAACTATCAGATCCTGACATAAGAAAACCAATTCAGGAGGCCATCCATTTAATTTAGTTAGAAGACACATGCACCGTGGCACAGATTAGTTTCCTGACCCACTGTAACCAAGGCAAAAGGCATTTATTCAGCACTTCACATGTGACAATGTATACTTCCCTCCCACCTAAAGGAAGCAGCCCAGACAACCCAATTATTACAGCACCAGAACTCTCTCAAGTCTTACTTTAGCCAAGTTAGCCAAACTGGGAAACTTTTCATGCTCTCCAAACTTTTTATTCCTCCATGGAGCAAATGTTCCCCACAGCATTCACTCCAGCCTCTATTCCCAGGACCCTTCCCAAGAAAAAAGAAAGCAGGGCGCAAGGGCTTGAGGAAGTCACAGCCATTCTGTCATCCAGCATCAAACTGGTGTGGCAGATTATGACTCTTATGAAGGAGCAGCTCTCTGCTGTCCTGACCTGGATGGCCCAGGCTAGCCTGATCTTGTCAGGTGTTGAAAGCAAAGCAGGATCGGCCCTGGATGGGAAACCACCAAGGACAGCGAGGGCACCACATTGAGGCAGGCAACAGCAAATTACTTGCTTGTCTCCTGCCTTGAAAACCACTTGAAGGGTCACCATAAGTCAGTGGCCTGACCTGGAGCTTTACACACACACACACACACACACACATACACTACCCTCTTGAACTGTGTGTGGTTTAGGATTTGTATGGCATTGTGACTACCTTAACAAAACCTATCACTCCCCACCCATCATAGGTGCGGTAGCTTAACAGAACCAGTGAATGGTCTCTCTGCTTTCCCAGATAAGGTATTTTACATAACTGCATTTCGTGGTGTATTTCCTGCATTTCATGGCCCCTTGACAGGGCTGTTTCCGTGTGTGTGTGTGTGTTTTAAACACCTAGTGTGGCATAGGGTATTCCAGTAGGATCCGGCAGACCCAGATTTCAAACCCTTCACTCTTCTACGGGAGTGGTGACCAGTGTTCCCTCTAAACTGAGTTAGTCTGAGCCAGCTCACAGTTTTTTAGCCTCCGTCTCACACATTTTTTGTCCTAGCTCAGGAAGGAGGGCTCCAGAGCAAACTAATTTGTGCAGTAGCCATATTGCTCGCTCACAACTTTAATGCCAGTAGCTCACAAAGTAGATTTTTTGCTCACGAGACTCCACAGCTTAGAGGGAACATTGGTGGTGACCCTGGGCCTTTTGCTCTCCCTCAGCCTGATCTACTTGCAAGGTTATCCTGAGGGTAAAATAGAGGAGGGCAGAAAGATGTACCCTGCCCTAAACTCCTTGGAGTAACAAATGCACTCAATCAAACAAAGGCTGAGCACCCGCTCTTGGCCTCTGAAGAACGCGGTCAACATTTCCTTTCGTCTTTTAAGGGGCCACAAGACCCACGCCTGTTTTCACCCGCTCAGAGTCACTGCCGTGTTTTCGATCAACCTGAGGGCTTAGGCGAAAACAACACCCCGCGCAGCTGCCTAAGGCCACAGGCCTAGACGCTCACATCCAACTCCTCAAGCCGATCCACCCCCCCCCCGGCGCCGGTGAGTCAGCGCGCCTGACTACGTGACGTCACAGAAGACAGAACGGGGCCGCGAGCGCCGCTTCGATGTGCGTGACGGGCGAGAAGCATTGTGGGCGGAGCCTCCTACCCTCGCCCCTCCCCCCGAACCAAGTCCCGAAGAGAACGGGCGCGCGAGGAGGCGTGGCCTCCACCTCCCTCCCCGCTGGGGAAGGGGAGAGGGAGGGGCCGTGGCGGACCTGCATCCATCTCTCGCTTCAGGTGGGCGACTCGGGTCTCTCACCTGTGGCATCTCGACCTCCATGGTGCGGCTGGCGGGCGGCGCTCGTCTCCTTGCTCGATGGGGCGCCCTTGCTCGATGGCTTCTGCTACCGCTCCCTTCGCAGTTCCTGGCCCCTCTGCTCCTCCGGCGTGCTGCCCTGCCGGGAATCGACCGGCCGCCTACCCACTTCCGCCCCGCCTCTTCCCAGTCACTGGACTCCGAGGAGGAGGAAGAGGGCGGGGAGCAGGCCTCTTTTCTCCCCCTTCTGCTGCTGCTCCTTCTTCTCGAGGGAGGGTAGCTGTGCCGGGCACGCAGTTGCAACAACAAAACAGAACTCTCCGAGTTCGCAGACTTTTTTCTGCCTGGGCAAGCGCCCCCTCTCCCTCTAGCGTGTAACACGTTCAAGGCAGAACTCTTGGGCTCCCCGGTTTGCTAGGAGAAGGCAAACCTCATCGGGAGACTTGGTTGGAACACCCTCGAAACTAACTTTTTATTACTGTGAAGCCGCTTTCTAAGATTTTGTTTTATGTAGGGATCCCCCCCCCCCTTTCCCTTAGGCGATGCATGTACAGGATCGTCATGACCCAGAGATATGGTATTATTATGAGGGAAACAGAATTTCTCAGCCATTACAGGTGTTAACTCAGTTTCCTTAGTTTTGCTGAATGAATTATCACAAATTATGGTTGCCGTTTGAACAGGGCCTGTTTGGGGTGGTCACATTTGAATTTTACCTAATGACTGCGTTGCTGTTAATAACCTGAAAAGTACTGAGACTTATTAGTGATTTCAGCCCTCATACTTTATTTCAGCTCAGAACAAAGACAAGTTGCCCAGCTCGTAGGCTGGTTTATATGCACAACAACCCCGCACCCAAAACACACCCACACACTCGTGATTGGCTATTTATAGTGGTCGAGAGTTCCATAGGCTCTCGACTGGGAGCCTAGCCTGCTGATAGGTGCGGGATCCGCTTGTCCCATTGTTCCTCCAAACGAAGCTCGACGGCTTCGCCTGACCACGTGGTGCAATGGCCGCGCACGTGGTCTGGGATGAATACATTACATAACCTTTTTTGCTTTCTGAGCAAGTTTGAAGGGCCCCCCCCCACATATATGTTTGTGTGTGCGCGCATAAAAGCTTATGCCTTGAATAAAACTTTGTTGGTCTTAAAGGTGCCACTAGACTCAAACTTTGTTCTGCTGCTTCAGAGCAATATGGCTACCCGCCTGAATATATGTTGTGTGTGTATGTCTGCTTAGTATGGGCCTGCTACATACATCTGATTAAGTGGGTTCTGATTCGCACAAGAAGAGTAGTTTTTTATACCCTGCTTTTTTCCACGTTGAGTCTTGAAGCAGCTTACAGTCCTTTCCCCTTCCTCTGCTCGTAACTAACACCTTGTGAGGTAGATGAGGCTGAGAGAGTTCAGAACTTTGTGGCACAAACACCCCCAGCAGGCTTGATGTGGAGGAGTGGGGAATCAAACTCAATTCTCCAGATCAGAGCCCACCAGTTTTAGCCACTGCACCATGCTAGAATGAAATTTTTTTGGTCTTTAACTTGTCATAAGACTCCTGTTTAATTTTGCTGCAACAAACTAATAACAGCTACTTCAGTGGAATTACTAGAGGGCAGTTATTCTCGGTCACCTTGAAAAAAGATATGAGGGAAATCAAGCTGGAATGTAGACTTGTGCCCTGAATATGCGCAGCAGCTTTTATTTGCTTAGCTCAGTGTTCAAAAGAGTCATTGCATAACAAAAACTTAGATGCCCTTGGTAGGTAAGATTTAAGCAAAGGTTTCACTTTGCTTGGTCAGTTAAATCCAGATTCCATATGAACATGTTTATTATTGTGTTGTAATCCTGCAGCATTTTAACCATTTTGAGAGCTGGAAGTCATGAAAAGGCATTAAGGGTAACTCATATGAGTTAATTTCAATACAAGGTTCTCCCAAGAGCCTAACTCCATCCTGCATGGAAGGTGTCACCAGAAACCACACTAACAAGACATATCCTCTCAGTGGTTTAAACTGGGGTAACTAATATGAGTTAATTTCAATATGAAGACAAAGTTCCCCCAAAGCCTAACTTTGCAAATGATAATATGAATTAATTGGCCTATAGCAGGGGTGGCCAAACTTGCTTAACATAAGAGCCTCATAGAAGAAATATCAGAGGTCTGAGTCACAAGACATGAACAAATATTACACACATTTTTATTGGAAAATATGCACATTTGCTTTTTGTTAACATTAAATAAGACTGCCAGAAATAAAAACGAAAGGGGTAAAAACAGATATTGTGAAAAGTACTAAGAAACGTGGAGTGATTTCAGCAAAGTACTTTTATTCAGAAGGAACAAGACAAAAGACAGCCGGCTCGCAGGCCGGTATATATGCCCAGAAAACCCACCACCAAAACCCACCCTCTACTTCCCATAGGCTATTTACAGTAGCCGAGAGTCCCATAGGCTCTCGGCTGCGGACCTGGCCCTCTGATAGGTGCGGGCTAGGATCCGCTTGGCTATTGTTCTCCCTGAGCGAAGCTTCGGGGCTTTGCTTGACCGCATGGCCCAACGGTCGCGCACGTGGCAATGGCGGAGTACATTACACCCCTCCCCCCATAGTCCAGACTACCCACACACAAAGTCCTGGAGGTACGCTGGGGCCTTCCTGGCCCTTGTGGAATGACGGAGTTCTGGTGTGATGGTTGTGGGTGCTACCGGGGGCCGTGGCAGGGAGGTTGGTTGCGGTGTTGCCGGTGGCGACAGCGCAGGAGGTTCCGGGGCAACCTGGACTGGAACGGGTGCTGGGGCCGGCGGCTCTGGCGTGGAGGAAGTCGCTTCGTCTGACTCCGTGAACTCCAGGTCCTCGGGATCGTTCGGGAGGACCCGCCGCCGCA